AAAAAAAAATGTGTTTTTTTTTTTTTTTTTTTTTTTTTTTTTTTTTTTTTTTTTTTTTACAGGTTATTCATGGACTGGCAGGTGACGTGGTGGTTAGAGGTTCTGGAGTCCCACATGGCCCACTGCAGTTTGAGTCCCAGATCTGGTGGCTTGCTTTCACACATTCTCTTCTCACTCTGTTCCTCCCTGGACAAATTAAAATAAATAAGTAAATGGATAAAGCTAAAGAAAATAATTCTGTAAAAAAAAAAAAAGGTTATTCAGTAATTGATGGATTCTAGAATTTTTTTTAAAAGAATTATTGTATTTAACTTTATTCATGTACTTATTTTTATTTGTAATTTGACCAGAGAGGGTCAGAGTGAGAGAGAGAGAAAGCAAGCCACTAGGTCTGTCACTCGAACCACGGGCGGCCATGTGGGAGTCCAGCACCCCTGACCACCACGCCACATGCTACCCTCTAGAATTTCTTTAAAAAATTAGTTGGTAGTCTTGTATGGCCAAATGTGTGAGTAATAGTGCAAAAGCCAGGGTCACGGGCATTACTTCTATCCCAGATTCCCCAGCTTTATTCCTGCTTCCCCAAAACCAAGTCATCACAAAGGAGTGATTGGGGCCTGTTCCTCAGGTCCAGCTCATGGTTCCAACGAGAGCTCTTTTCTTTCTTTCTTTTTATTTATTTATTTTCTTCGTAATTGCCAGGAGGCAAGTGAGTTCCCCAGAGAGAAACAGGGAGAGATAGAGGGCATCTCCCCGTGGGGCAAGATCGTGCTGCAGTCACTCCATCCCCATCTTGCCTAGATCTCTGCGCACGTGTCCGATGTGTTTTTAAGGCACAGTGGCCAAGATTCAAACCACAGTCTACCACGTGGGATCCGGGTCCTTTAACCACTAGGCCACGGGGCCGGCCCCCCACCATAAGCTTTTATAGACTTACCTGTAACTACTTACGGAGGCATCCAGATATGGGATCATTTCATTTGATTTCCCAGGGTATCTAGACCAGGCCATGGCCAAGCTCGGTAGATTGTTCTTCCCATGACAACTGCTGTTGGCTGTGAGTTTATTAGAAGCCTCAATACCAAACCTAATTCACATGACCTCACTAAGAAGAGACCATGACTGAATGTTAACAGAATCTATTACAGATGATCAACTTGTCACAATTAAACTGAAATATCATGCCTATGTCATATTTTTTTTTCTTTTTTTGGAGAGGTTTTTGCTTTAGGGCACATGCACTCGCCAGACAGACAGAGATAGAAAGCGAGAAATCACCCCCCTGGGGGGATGGCCACGCCGCAATTCCTTCTCCTCCATTCTCCTCTCGGGATCTTGGGCACGCACGCACACGCGCCCGGCGTGAGTTTTTAAGCCACCAGGTCTGGGACTCGAACCGCAGTCGACTACATGGGAGTCCAGCGACATAGCCATTACGCTAACTGCTGGTTCCCCATATTTCTTTATCAAACGAGAAAATGTGTGAGTATACAAACTGCAAGCTATTACATGGAATATGATAGTTATAAGTGGTGGTCTATAAATTCGGGTTCATTTATGTTTTCTGCTGGCATTCTCAAGCATTTAAAATCTGTGTTATTTTTAATTATAAAATTAGAATGATCGTTTAGTATATAAATAGCAAATGAACCCTAATATGTTTCTTTTTCTTTTCTTTCTTAATTGACAGGGACATTAGTAAAAATCGTCTCTTAAGCATTAGAACGTTTCTTTATTGGACCATCCTGGGTTTCAGTCATGCCTTTATTTTCTTTTTTGGATCCTATTTTCTGATAGGCAAAGATATATCTCTACTTGGAAATGGCCAGGTAAGATAATATTTTTTTATTATTATTATTATTAAATGTTTTTAGTATTTTGAATTGGCTTGGTTTTTGATAACTTTTTGTCATAGAAAATAAAAGCAAAATTTAATTTAAATTATAACATTTCAGATAACAAATTAGAACTAAAATCTGAAAGGCTTAAAAATTTTTTTCTATTTAAATGATAAGGTTTGATACCAATGAAAATTGAAACAGAAAGGCAATGCTGTATAATCTGAAACTGAAGGTACCAAACAACTTTGCTATTCAAAACCTATCAGTAGACCATACAAAGGAGTATGCCCTGCGCTTGCATGCTGTTCCTCTCAGGGTGTCTTAATAATAGCTATTGTTTGCTTGCTGCTTGCTTTTCTGCTAAGTGTTGCCATCGCAGCTCCTTGACTCCCCTCATTAACCCTCACAGAGAGAAATGAGGGCTTAGTTTTGTTTGCTTTTAGTAACATGGTTTATTATGACGACTGTTTGTTTAAGGAGTGCCTCCATACTCTTCAGTGTATACTTAGCAGTTCTCGGGATGTCGGAGTCACTGTTCAGTATGACCACAACACGACGTTAGAACAGACCACTAAACAGGGCACGTTGACACCGCGTCCTGCTTAGAGTACCCGTGACAGGTTCGTACAGAAGAAGGCCCCTCTCCCAGCCTAGCTAGATGGGGTAGGACGAAACGCATGGCCGCTCTGGTTTTTGGATAGAGTAGAAGCGCTTGTCACCTTTCATTTTATTTTCATTGACAAAGCTTAAGTACTGCAAAATACATTCAGAGAGACAGATATACATGAGTTGCAATTGGAAAAATATAGTTTTATCTGTTTAATAAATATTTATTGAAGCCAGCCATTCTCAAGTAGTATACTAGAGTCTGAATATTGAGCACAACCAGCATACGTGGTCATGGAGTTTAAAGTCTTGTGAGGGACACAGAAAATGAGCAAATAACCTAATAAAATGAGCCAGTGCAATGAAGAGAGTGGATCTCAAAAACATAGAGGCCCTCATGGTGCAAATCCCTCTAGGTCTTAGAGGAGAACGTAAACATTGCTGCCACTTCATTTTCGAGGACACATTTCGCCTGAAGTGGTTACAAATCCAAATTTTTGGCCGCACCTTCGACATGTTCAAGTTTCCCTGTACTCAGTTCCTGAGGGGCACTGCAAATAGTGTACAGGAGCCAAAAGACCCCACCTGAAGAAAGCATCTCAGGGCCTCGGCCTCACTGAGCCACATACAAGATGGTGGCAGGAAGTGGACTCCCAAGCTACGCCCCAGATGCAGAGTCTGGCTCAGTGGGGATTAGACAGCTATGAGGTCTCCCAAATGCACCTCTGGGTGTCTTCCAAGACGTGGTCCTCGTGGTTGTGCTGGCCTTGCTGGACTGCTTTTAGCTAGAGGTTCAAAAGTAACGAAGCTGGTGTGCCCACCTGGTGGCATGGGATTAGCCTTCTCTATCTGCTATCCACAACGAGCCATCACATTGGCCCAGGTCAGCGGACAGAAATTACATGACGGGTTTACGAGGTTATGTAGTTGAAGATTTGTGCAAGGAGAACTTTCAAAGACCAGGAGATGTGAAGAATTCACCCAGAAATAAGTAGAGAACTTCATATCTGCCCATTTAATCAGTTATAGGTGAAGATGAGAAAGCCCTGCAGTAAGTCAGCATTTTTACAGAAACGTGGCAAAGACATCATTATTGAATGTGGTAAATGGCATTCTTCAGGGACAGCTATGCTAGGCCTCTGTCATCTGGGACGACACCAAAGCACACATGGACTATTCTGAAATCTTTCGCCCAAAATAACGTGCCATCCTCAGAACTCCTTGATCTCATGTTGCTAATTATGTACATAATTAAATTCCAAGTTAAAAAAATAGGAATTTTGGGGGACTAGTAGGTGGCGTAATGGCTGGCACTGGACTCCCATGTAGTCAACTGCGGTTCGAGTCCCGGACCTGGTGGCTTAAACTCATGCCGGGCGTGCCCAAGATCCCAAGAGGAGAATGGAGGAGAACGGATTGTGTGGAGGCCATCCCCCGCGGGGGTGATTTCTTGCTGTCTTTCTGGTGAGCGCACGCGCCCTATAACACACACGTATAAATTTTTATGTGTGGTACAAAGGCTGCAGCACCACCTTTTATTGAGATTTCTCTGTCACGCACGTGCATTAACTCAGATCATTACAACCCTGGGTGAGGAAAACATCTATTAAATTAACCTCAAAGAGGTTATGAAACTTGCGCAAGTTCACACAGAGCGGAAATTACAAGAGTAGAATTCAGAGTCAGGTCTGTGACCACGGAGACTGTGCTTCACGATCTTCAGGCTCTTTGACGAATGACGTCAGCCTCTGCCCTTCTGTGTCCTCGCCACTTGTGCAAACGCCATCAGACGCAGAGATGCGTGAATGGCTGTGCCCCCTTCTCCAGAGAGCCTGGGGTGGGGACTGGGCAGAATGAAGATGGGAGGCAAAGGTAAGAGGGGAGAAGTCATTGGATGAAAAAGAAAGATCTGTCCTTGCTAGTTACTACTTTCTCGTATGCTTTGAAAAGTAAAAATGCCCATTGTGGTAAATTCTGAATATATAGGGAAAAGTATCGAGAAAGTAAACCAGTTGTCCTTCTGTACTACACGGTATTACTGCTGCCATTTTGACATTTCACTCTTTTTCCTTTTTTTTGCTAGTATCATTATTAACTCCATAGTTCGTGTGCCATTATTTCCCAAGGGATTTATGATGTCGTTAAAATGCTCCAGGGGCCGGCTGCAGTGGTGCCATGGGAGCGCAACGCTCCGTGATGCTGACGGACTCGGCAGGTCCTGGCTGCGATCCAGAGGGCTCCCTGTGCACGCCGTTAACTGGTGGGCGGAGCCTGGGAGGAGGTCACAGCATGAAGCCCTGTTGGGGGTGCCCCTGTCACCTTCCACTCTAATGAAAGAAAGAAACGTGAGAAACTGCTTCAGGGCCCTGGCTCTGTATTGCAGAGGTTATGTGCTATGTATAGAAAGCTGAATCCCACATGGCCAGCCACAGTTTGAATCCATGATCTGGTGGCTTCGAAAGCATGCCAGGCACATGTGCGTGTGCCCAAATCCTGGTGAGATAGAAGAAAGGACTGCAGCAGGACCACGCCCCATTGGAGGGTGCTTTCTCCTTTCCCTCCAGAGGGTACATGCACTCACCAGAGAGAATGGGGGCTACAGTGAGAGAGCGCCCCCGGTGGGGAACGGTCACACTGCAGGGCTTTCCTCCTTTCAGGGTCCTGGGCACGCATGTACAAATGCGTGGCACGTGTCTTTCGCTGCTAGGCCTGGGACTGAGCTGTGCAGTAGGCCATGTGGCATCCAGCCACCTTAACCACATCCTGAGGTGGCCTGTGAGCATTTTTTATACGAAAGATAAATGGCCCAGCCTAGGTGACACACTCCGTAGTATACAAGACAGCGTGCGGAAAGCTACATGGCCCACCGCGGATTCAGATCCCTGGGTCGGCCTGGAAACGTGCTGGGCGCACACACAGGTGCCCACGATCCCGAGGGAGTGGAGAGCTGGGGGGAGGAGTGGGCAGTGAAAGACCCTGTCGAGGAGCCTCTCGTGTGGACACATGCACATACAGCGCCGTAAAACAGAGAAGCCGAACCCTTCAGTGAGGGCGGGTCCTTGGCTGTTAGTGTAAGAGTCTGTCTTTTCTCTGCACTGCCTATTTAATTATCAGTTTCTTTTTACCCTCTTAGCCTACCGTTTCTGTCACTCCTGTGTGTGCCACTAGACACGACCCTGCCACTGCTCGCTGCCCGTGCTGTCATAGGTCTATGGGAGCAGCGGCACACGCTGCAGTCAGTGGGCCTTGAACTCATCCTGCACCTGTGGTTACTGCTGGCATGGTTCGGGATGTGTCAGGCTTTCTAAGACTCATTTTTCTCTTCTGCAAAATGAGGAGCATAATCTTTACCTTCCAGGATTGCCGTGAGGAGTAAGCGAGATACAGAGAGCACTAAGCGTAGTAGCTGGCACATTCAGGTGCTCATTGAGTCTTAGCAGTAGTCATTGTTATTTTTACTATCAAATTTTTATGTGAAAGACCCTGACTTACCCAATTCCACCCAATCTTCTCCCTGAAACTGTCCCCTGCCTGTGAGAGTCCCCTTGCTGGCTCTCTCAGAATGCACCGTGTTCCTTTCTAATTCTAAGCCACTGCTTGTTCCATCTCTGGAGAGTTCTGGCTTCCTTCCCAGAGCCTCCAGCCCCATCTGGTCATGGTCCAGTCCACAGATCCCTGTCCTTTTTCTCCATCCCCCCTGAAGCTTCTTATGGGCTACCAGGTGTCCAGACTTCTGTGTAGTATCCCGTTCCGGTCTCGTTGGTCAGCACTGGGTATGTTGAGTGCTTCCTGTTCCTAAATACATTTGTGTATGCCCAAGAAATCTACAAATCCTTTAGGGCCTGGAGCAGGCCAGGTTATGCGAGACGTCCTGGGAAGAGAGAGAGAGAGAGAGAGAGGGAGACCCAGGGCAGGTTTTATGGGGGGAGTGAGAAAGTAAGCCTCCAGGTCTGGGACTCAAATCAACACTCGGCCATGTGGAAATCATCCAGTGCCTTAGCCCCCACGCCATCTGCTGGCCCCAAGTTTAAGTATTCTTTCCATTTACTTTTTCAAAGTTAAAAATTAGCTTAACCTTAGACTTGAGATTGGTTTTTAATCTGACAGTCAACTTTTTTAAAATTTGTATTATTTTATTTATTTATTTATTTATTTATTTAGCTATAAGGCGCGTGCATTTGCGCGAGAGAGAAAGTGGGGATGGGCATAAAGCAGAGAGGGGACAATAAGAAAGCACTCCTGAGGGGCGAGAGGGATGGCTGCACTGTAGCCCCGTCTCCACTGTCCTCTCGGGATTTCGGACAGTCATGCACATGCACCCGACCTGTTTTCTTTTCTTTTCTTTCTTTCTTTTTTTCTTTTTTTATTAAATATTTACATTC